CCCCCCGGGTCGCACCAAATCATGTTCTCTCCCGAGCCTTTTGGCCTGTTTACATGCAGTCTCGTCATTTCGGACCTGCATTCTGCTCCGCCCCGTTCAAAGGCAGCACTCAGTATGCTGCCATTACTAAGTTTATCCGGAATCGGTGGAGACCATCCAGTCAACCTCTTGGGGTAAATGAGCTGGTCCTCTCGTAACGAGGTAGCAGCCGAACCGAACGAAAGCTTTGGCTGAGTGCTACTCCTGATGCAGGGCAGAGATGACTGAGTCAACCTCTTCGGAGCATCGGAACGATCTTCTCGCGCTCGGATCGGCCCCAGCCGAGCGAGTTTTTGGTGTGAGTGCTTCCTGCCCTAGTCCAGCGACGCCTCGATTGGCGGTGTTCGACGCTGTCCTCTTGGAGTGGGACTCTTCATGTGTGGATTCGATGCTGGCCAGAAACGACGCTCGGAACCCCTGGCCGTTCCTGTTTCGATCAGAGCGGATCCGACAAGCAAGCCGCCCTGTGCGCAGACAGCAGTCGACGTTGTGGCATCAGAGGGACAGCCTCTTTGCATTCGGCGGTGACAGCAGCGAGCGCTCTTGGAGGTTCGAAGAAGGTCAAACGACGACCTGGCCAACTCGATGAGCCAGTCTCGAATCGACGGTTCAGCATAACGCTTCCGAGGCAGATCAACCTCTGATAACCTTGAGCTGCACTCCATCCGTGACGATCGAGTCTCGCCTCCAGATTGGCCCGAAGCTCAGATCGACTCGGCGGGTACGCAAGGCTCGCTTCACATCCGCGCTTCGTCGTGGTGTCATCTTTCGTAAAGTCGTTGATGTCTATGTGCGAAAACTGCGATCGAGAGAGTGTCCGTGTGTTCTCCACCAACTATGCCTGCTCTGCACCACCTTCGCCATTGCTGCTCTTCCCCTCCCCTTCCAGTCCCATCTCGCGTCTCCACTCCTCCGCATCCTCTCGTCCACCAAATTCCTCCCACACCTCCAACTCCGGGTAGCATCGCCTTACACTACTCTCCGCGCCCATCGCCATCAACGCCATCACAGGGTTCGTTAACAAGCTCATCACCCCTCCGTAGATGAGCTTGATCACCTCGGGGACCCATGTTCCGGCCAACTCTTTGCCGCCGTAGATCGGGGCGATGATGGCAATCGCTATGGGCCAATACCACCAAAATGTGAGAACGCATAAAAAGAATCCTTGGGCGGCGGTCCATAGGAGGCGCTGGAGACGTTGATTGGTCGAGATGCCGGGGGAGAGGAGGTCGTTTCTCTCGCTACCCGTGCATACTGCTCGGACGAAGAACCAGAAATACTGCTTCCACCTGGTTTCCCCCTCCGCTTTGCCCATGTACAAGGGTTTTTCGGGTTGAACATCCGCCGGTAACCTCGACCCGAAGTAGTGGCCCGCAGGACTGGGTGTCGATGGAAGGTGCAACAAAGGTGGCCAAGGTCGGCGAAGAGGTGCGATCGGCCCAACCACCAAGTCCCGGTGTACCAAGCTACTCGTGATAATGAACGACACCACTTGCTGGATGATCACCGTCACCCCCATGTCGCCTGCCACTGTCTGCCGGTCGAACGTCCAGAGGTCCACCGTGTCGCGTCCTCGGTAGAGCGCGACGGCTACGGCAAAGTTGATCCCCCCAGAGATGCAGGCTGCGATGATGGACTGCGCGACCACGATGTAGAGGAACTGTAATGAGGGAAAACGGAGCGGGCCGGGGAGCAGCCAGTCTCGGAGGGTGGAGGGTGTGGTGGTGACAATGCCGGAGCGCGGGAGGGGGGCGCCGAAGGGGAGATGTTGGTTGCGCAGGGTGAGCTCGTGTGCCCGTTTGGGGATCGACCGGCGAGGTTCGCGAAGGGGATCGATGGGGAGCTTGGATAGTTTCTGGTCGGATGGATTGGGAGGAGTGGGTGGACTTGGGCTTGGGCTGGAATGCGAAGGTGTCGTATCGGCGCTGGGGACGGTCGGACGACCAGACTCGGATCGACGATGCGAGCGTGCCGGTCGGATAGGTGTCGAAGGTGCGTCATTGTTGCTATCATCTCGCCGTGATGGATCCGCATCCAGCGTGACTCTAGACCGCCCCACCGTCGACTGTGTCGTATCCGTCGTCCGCTCCAAAGCCATGCTCGCTCTAGGCTGTGCGATCCTCGTGTTAGGATACGAGGGCACGTCGTGCGAGCTGTCTCTCGACTGCATCGCTGGAGCTGCGCTACTCCGCTCTGGAGCTGCTTGCGACGACGCCATGTGTGACGATGCTCGATGGTGGTCAAGAGCAAAGCCATCTCCTCAAACACAACCACATCTTGAAACAAGAGCACCAGGGTCCTCACCAGCCGGAAAAAGTGGAGTTTGGCGGGCGGCGCGCTATTTCCGTGCATGATGATTTTCTGTGGTTGTGCCGGTCAGCAGCTGTAAGACGCAGATCATCAGCCTCGCCCGGCATGCGAGCGTGCGGCTTTCCAGGGTCAAAATTTCGAAGCTCCGTGTGTGGGTCAGCAAGCGCGGAAATCGAACCATCTTTACCGACCGTCGGTGCGAAATGAGCGCAAGCTGGAACCTTGGTTAGGCGCTTGAGTCTCACCGCCCCCACCTGGCTCAGAGCGGCTATCGCACTTCACTTTTGAGCTTCGGACCGATCATCGCCCGTCTTGCACCTCCCGCTAGCAATGCTAGTCTCACACTCGTTGCAATGTAGACTCTACGTGTGGATGAACGCAAATTTCCTGGGAGACAAACTCAAGCTTGATGATACGCTCGACTTCCACAGCTTCATGCACGACCCTCGAGATGACCGTGAACAGAAAGAATGCTTATTTACCGAAGAACAGCGAACACAATCGCCCGCACACAGGCGCACACGAGAGTGACGATGAGGGATCATTGCCAGTGCGTGAGCACGAACCTTGCCTCCGACCCCTAATGCAGCAGCCACCTCCGCCGCCCGGAACACGCGCGCCTATGAGCTCATCCCACATCCCCCTTCTCTAACTAGCCACGACCTCTCCCCGTGCAGCAGCCGCCTTAACAGGCTCAAAGTACGGATGATCCTGCGCCTCCTTGGCCGTCAGCCTTTCCTGGTGGTCGTACCTCAGCAGCTTGTCCAAAAAGTCGATCGCATCGTTCGAGATGTACCTCTGGTTCTCGCTCGTAATGAAGCGACTCCACGGTTTGCGCTGGTACCGCCCCAGAATGTCGTCGTACTGCGGGTCGAGGTCGATGTCGTACTTCTCGAGGTAGGCGTACAGCTCGTCCGTTCCGAGCACCTTGCAGATCTTGACGAGCTGGTCGTAGTTGTCGTGGCCGTGGAAGAAGGGTTCTTTGCGGAAGATCATCGAGGCGAACATGCAACCGAGCGACCACATGTCGAGCGAGTAGTCGTACTCTTGGAAGTCGACGAGGAGTTCGGGGCCCTTGAAGTAGCGCGAGGCGACGCGGACGTTGTATTCCGTGTACGGGTGGTAGAACTCGGCGAGACCCCAATCGATCAGTCGCAGCTTGCGCTTCTCGTGGTCGATCATCACATTGTGCGGCTTGACATCCCGATGCATGATGCCTCGCGAATGGCAGAAGTCCAACGCCTTGAGCAGCTCGAAGATGTAGAAGCGCACGTCAAAGTCGGTGAATTTCGGGTAGAGCACCTTGAAGTCCGTGTTGTTGATGTACTCGGTGATGATCGATGGCGTCTTGGATTGCGGATCGCGAACCACGTCCAAGAGACCAACAACGTTGGGTCCACCCGCCAGGTTTTGCAGGATCTTGATCTCTCGCTTGATCTTCTTCTTCTTGACCGGCTTGAGCACCTTGATGATGCACTTCTCCGGTACACCTGACGCCGAGGCGATGTTGACTCCTTCAAAGACTTCCGAGTACTTCCCGCGTCCTACTTTGCGCAGGATCTCGTAGTTGTCCTGTGTTCCCCACTGCACTGCGAGGTTGTCATAGTCCCACCAAGGTCGTCCGAACTTTTCGTTGGCGCCAGGGTAGACCCTTGCGCAGCTACGTCCACCTGACATGGTTGAGGGTTCTGTGATGTTGGGACGAGATTGAACGCTGATTTGTATCGTCGATCAAGATAGAAGGCCGAGGCGGGTGCTTCTTTGCGGGATCCACAGAGCGAGTGCAGTCACTGCTTCGAATCTGCGAGCTGGGCGGGAGGTTCGCGATGCGGATTCTTGAAGTTGCACGGATCTTCGTAGCAGACAGTTCGCGCAGTACGAAGATTCCTTTTCGTCAGAGGCACGGTTGAGATGGCAGCGGATGAGCTGATGGATCGGAGGAGACCAGGAAGCCGATCGCCAAATGCGGCGTGAAGACCGAACCAGCGTCGGACGAGGGTATCTCGAAGTACCGATCGTTGAATAGGTCGGATGCGCGCAATACTATGCAGGGAGTGATCGCTCGTGGTGTACGATGGGTTGCCACGTCGTCGCCAAGCGAAAGGATGAGGGATGGATGCGATGGTGGAGAGAGAGATGAGATGACTTTTTCGATTTGAGATGAGCGTCGATCCGATTTTGTTCTTCTCGAGAAAAGGTCGTCAGCCAAGAGAGGGCGTGCGCTTAAGCCAACTCGCTGGCTACCTCCAAGATGAGTTCAGGTGGGCAGCTGTCCACAGGCAGAAGCTGGACGCGTCTCCAAAGCTTTGCAGCGTCTCATCGTTCGATTTCTTGTCTTTCAAAATCGTGATCGTTGCAACGTGGGCAACACACAAAAGCTATATATACGCAGCAGGTGACCGCTCCCGCAACGATATCTATCCCGGCTAGCTCAGTCGGTAGAGCGTCAGACTCTTATTACAAGGGTTTCCGAGACTTATTCTCGGGTCATCTGAATGTCGTGGGTTCGAGCCCCACGTTGGGAGACCTTTTTTTTGGCGTTTCTTTTGGGCCTCAAGTAGGTCTTCCAGTTCCAGGTCGACTCCGCTCTCGAACCGGCGCTTCCGGCCGGAGCTTCGGTGTAGAACATTGAACCGGAGAGGCATGGTGACAAGGGGTCTACTTCACCGCTCAGCAGACAACAGAGCACGAACGCTTTGCGGACGACAAGTCAACGATTTGCAGCTCCAAACGAAAGATGACAAGAGAACCAAAGTACAAATACAGGTGTTTGCGAGATGCAGTGTGAGTGTGCGTGCGATGCGATCATGCATGCTTTTTGATGGGGGAATGAGGGGGGTCGCGAGACTGATTGAGACGGTGATGTCTGCAAAATGGTTGGAGGGGCAACTGATCAGGTCAAGTCCTTGGTGAGGCCGTTCTTATGGACGAGGACGAAGTTGTATTCCGAGCGCCTCTTCAATCTCGTCTCGCGGCGCTTGAGGCTTGCGTAGCGTCTGCCGGAGCACCCGGTTGGACAGGCTCTCGTCGGCGGCGTCGAGTGTGATGTCTCCGTCGGCGTCCGTGTCTTCGTTCCCAGTGGCGCGCGTTCGACGGATCGGCTGGGAAACTCCAGTATCGAAGCGCATGGCCGTCTGTACGAAAGGGTCTTGCGACAAGGAGGAAGAGGGCGTCGCAGGCATGCCGCCGGTGCTGTTCATGCTTTCTGATGCGCTGGACCCTTGAGTCAGAGTGGTCATCTCTGAGAAGGCGGATGGCGAGATGGGCTCTTGTGATGCCGGGTGGGGACCGTAGACTGCGGCAGGGGCAATGAGTCCTTCAGCGCCTGGCTGAGGGTTGACAGAGGTGAACGTCGGCACGCCAGGCATCGCCAACCCGCTCCCGCGCGCAAGACGGCCGCCAGGAATCTGAAGTGGGGCGAGAGATCCCGGTCGAGGTCCAAGCGCGCTGTTCTCGAGCGCCGAGCTTGCTGGTGCCTCGACTGCGGTGCTTCTTCGTCGAGAGGCCCTCGTGCCGCGCGCAGGAGATGATGTTCGGGAGCTGGGACGACTGGAGGTACGGCCAGATGAGTGGGACGCGGCTTGAGCAACGCCAGCAGCGGCCGCAGCCGTAGCAGCGCGGCGTTCGAGCAGGGTACCGGACCTCTGTTCGTCGTTGTTGCGTGTCCGCCTCTCCTGCGCGGTCGATCGTGCCTGATGGAACGCGGACTGAGGCTCTTGAGGTTGCACTCGCATCGCCTCGTAGGGCAAGCCGAGCGAGTCGACCGATACCGGCGTGTTGAGTGGATTGGTGAGCCTTCGAGTGCGAACCGAGCCTGCACGGTTCAGTGTTCGGCTCCGGGTCGACATGGCTGGACTGGCAGTGGGCTGCAGAGGCCCAAAAGGCGTAGATGGAGACGTTGTACCGAGGTAGTTCATGCTCGATGAGAGACTCGTAGTGGGATCCATGGATTCATCGAGAGGGGTCCACTGGCCCTGAAACGACGCAGCAGAAGGCGAAGGCAGCGCGTCGTATTCGCCAAAGTAGGAGGGTGATGGACTGATGCGAGCGTTCTCGTCTGATTGGCGTGGTCTTGCCCCGCGCAACGAGCGACGGAAGGGCACGTTGGGAGAAGTAGAGCCGTTGCGAGTCATGATTGGGCTGGTAGGTCCTCCGGAGGAAGACGATGATGCAGTCCGAGCGTGACGCGACGGTGCTGACCTGGCCGCGTTGAGGAGGTCTTCCCGATCGAGAAAGATGGACGAGCTTGCGCTGCTCCTGCGGCTCGAACTGCGCATATCTGCCAACCACAGCGGGATTTCGGCCAGGGGCGTTCTCGGGGTCGACATACCCGAGGGTGGATTGTACGTAGGGTCAAATCCTCCACCCAGAGGCAGGCAGCCCGTCAGCGAGTTCTGACGGTTGTGCTGACCAGATGCCAGGATGTTGGCGGTAGAGTTGCTCGGAGCGAGGATGTTGGAGTTGGACGAAGAGCGTGATCGTGCATGTGACGGGGATGAGGCGCCGTTGTTGCTGGAATACAAGGGTCGATTCTGTGTGCGAGCAGAAGCTCTGCGTCGTGGTAATGAGCGTGTAGGCCGAGGCGGCGACATGTTGCTGTTGGTTCGAGCCATGGGAGCGGTCATGTCGTATGCAGAGGATGGCTGAGGCTGAAGATTGAGCGTGCGTATTGACAGTGGTCCCGGAACGGCGCCGAGGGGGTCATTGACTCCTCCTTGTGATGAAGTGTGCCTCATCCGGGTATCGGCACTGTTCGTCGTAGTCTGTGATGCGGAATCGTCGAGGTAGCGGGACGAGAAGGACTGGCTTGAGAGACTCCTCGCCATTGGAGTCGACGTTCTCCAGCCATTGCTTTGAGCGGGATCGCTCGACGGAAGACCATGATCGAGATAGGTCCGGGTGCTGCGTAAGGAGCGGAGCGGAACTGCAGAGCGAGCCGTCGCGCCGCTGTTGGACGAGTTGGAGCGCATCAAGGCCATTCGATCGCGCGCTTGATTGGGGCTCTCGAAGGTTGACAGGTTCGTTGAGGGATTGTGCTGGGTCGTATCTCGGAGGGTTCGTCGCTCTTCATTGCGGTGATGGTGGGTTGGAACATGGCGCTGTGCAGCGTCAGGCCCAAATGAGACTGCCGGACCGTGCTCGGCTTGCGACTGCGAGCGGGCTGCAGTCTGCGGGTCAGGGTGCTCTGCGGAGCCGTCGCGAGCGGGATGTGCGGGACGTTTGCGGGTGCGTCTGGTCTGAATGGAGATGGTGGGATCGACTGGACTATCGCTTTCGTCGGCGCTGCCATCCTTGGATCCGCCGTGCGGCTTGTCGTGGCGAGGACGAGCCATGCTGCGGCAACTTGTATACGCCGCAGCGCCTTGGCAGAGATCGGTCGAAGGCTTTGAGAGCTCGATCGACTCTTTATGAGCAAATGATATGCATGGACATGGTCGGGCCGGGCTGACTGAGAGGTGGTTGCGGGATGAGGATGGTGAGCACAGCACAAGCAAGCAGCTGATGTACGGTTGTCGCAGAGAGAATGAGCCGATGATGGCGGTAAGAGAGCCAGGAAGAGGGCGACTCGACTGCGACCTGGCCGATGTGAGGATGATGGTGCGGAGAGGAAAGCTATGCTGTAGAAGTGTGAGAGAGCGGCAGAGACGAAAGCTGGTTGAAGTCTGCGGAGGAGAAAGGAGCTCAGGAAGGCAGAAGCAAGTGCGGAAACCTAGCCGAGAGCGAAGGGACGCAGCAATACGATAGCACGCAGCGGCAGATCGGATCGACCTTCTAAGCGGTCGCCGTTCGTGCAGCCTGAGATGCCAAGCAGGCGTAGGCAACGAGAGTCATAGCGTAGGAGTCCAAACGGGGGATACCGACAAGGACGAGAGCGAGCCGAAGGAGCAAAGCGGCAGGCAAAGGCGTCGGCTTAACTTCGCATGCAGGTCAAGAAGGAATTGCGTTGATCAGACGAGCAACCGAGCAGCAAAGCGTCGTCGAATGCACGCGCTCTGACCACGCTAATCAGCTCGCGAATGCAGGTCGCTTAACGTTCAAATCTACGCACGGAATGCATAGCAACCACACGCCGATTCCGCTCCCGTCTTGGCTTCATGTCTCAAGCTGTGCTTGCTCAACGCCTTGTCTAAGGAGCGATCTGATCGATGCGAGTGGCATGCAGACGCTCTCCAAGATATGTGAGCAAGAAAGAGTGTGTGTGACACATCAGAGGCTGCTCTGTGACGAACAGGTTCCGATGGAGTCGGAGTCGTCTGACTTTGGCATGGGAAACCAATTTGGGCAATCGAATCTCGACAGAAGCGCCAGAATGAGGAGCTGAACTTGGAAAGTACGCATGTGAAGAATCACACAAGAGGCTTGCATTGACAAAGCTTGCCTTCTTGGCGGTCGGGGTCCGCTGAGCAAGGCAGCCACTTCGGTACCATGACTCCTCGATGTGGCGCGCTTCGGGCTGTGTTCCGATCAACGAGGGTGCCGGCGTCGAAGCAAGCAGGCCTCAAGAAGGGAATCGTTTGTTCGAGGAAGAATAACGAGCGACTCCTGTTGAACCTTGAGCGTGGGAAAGCGACGGGTTTCCAGGCGTGAGGGACCGACAGAAGCAGCCAAGGAAGCACACAAGCGGACGGCGCGTAGTAATAAGGTCAATCGACGCTGTCACTGCAGTCAAGATGGTGCTCTAGAACGGAGCGGGAAGCGGACGGTTCGTCACCGACGGCCACCGACCATGCCAGAGTTGGACCCTCAAAGTCGTGCTCGCTTGCAATCGAGCCGTCGATGCAGGCTGAGGGTGCGCCAGTTTTTCGCGATCCGCACCTGCGTTGGCGGCTTTTCTTCTCGTCGAGTTTCAAAATGCGAAGAGGGAAGAACGACCATGCGACCCAGCCATCATGCCTTTCATTCTTCGCAATCGTTCTTCCGTGCGATGTTCGTGTCGGAGCTTCATGGTCCTGGCTGATGCATCGCTGGAACCGAGAGAAGGCACGATCACGCCTGCCATCGTTCAAGCCGGCCTCTTGAGATGGAGGCAAGCTTGAGATGGGGATTTGCCGGGTCACTCGAGCGCTTCCCGCTTCTTGGCGAAGCCCGCAAGCGACCGGTCAAGGCAAAGCGGCATGCACAGAATCCACGTTTCTGCTTCGACTTCGACTTGGTCTGCACCATTTGCAGTTCATATCTGCAAGAGCCACGCACGTCGTCGTCGCAATGCAGCAGCAAACCCATCTGTTCATGATCCACTCTGCAGCCTCGCGCTGCGAGCTCTTGCATGTGCCTGCATGATGCCACGGCAAATGAGCCAGACGCACCTGCGAGCACACAACAAACATCCAGACGGACCGCGTGGAGTGTCGACAAAGAGGGAGCTGGTCCGGAGAAGACCGCGCTTCTCACCGGCGCGCCTCCCGCAAGACCTTGGACAGATCGAGTCGTTCCCATCAGCTGTCGTCGCACTTTAAAAAGCGGTCGCGCCTGCGTCGAGCGTCAGATTTCTTCTTTAAGGTTTGGCAAAAGAGAGAGAGACAAGAAACAACTCTTTTGACAGTCGCAGGGTCCAACCATTCCAAAACTCTAAACCCTTTTCTTCTTAAGACACGCTCGAGCCGACGCAGTAGCGTGAACCCACCGATCCTGTGCAGCTTCTTGCATTCGATCTCAGCTTGCCCGCTTGCCCTTGGGCTCGTATCTGATATCGTTCTTCGGGCTCTAGAACGATGCCAGCCGAGCTACCCATGACATGGAACCTGGGACGAAAAGGCGGGGTAGCAGTTGAAGCGAAAGAGACTTCGAAGAAGCAATCACCCGGCATCAGTGCTCGTCTCCATCGAAGTCAGCGGAGATCAGAAGCACGCTCCTAGCTGCCTCTGCATCGCCATGTCGGCCCGAACCACGCTATCTTCACTCTGATCAAGGGTCAAAAGAAGTCATGCCAAGTTTGCGGGGTTACTTTTCATCCAGAGCTCGTAGCGAGGAGCTAAGACTAGTCCAGCTCGGATCGTCTGCCGCGCCTACGCGAGGTCCAAGTGCGGAGCCGTCCTCTCAATCAGACTTCGCAACATGTCGGTGCCGCATGAATGAATCCACAGGGCTGGGTCGTGTGAGCTCACCAGCGCCATCATGGTCAAGCCAAGAACAATCGCCAAGTTGGGGGACCAACTTTCATGCTCCCTTTCCCCCCTGTGGCGCGGGAAAAGCTCGCTTTGCACGCGATCAAACCTCATGCTCACCACGCTTCGCAGAGCCGACGGAATTGCGCGCAATCACCGATCCTATAAAAACACAAAATGAGATTCTAGGTCTACGATCCGGACCCCTTCCTCCTCCCGATGAGCTTGCTGAACCTCGTCGGCTGCTTGCTCGGCGCCGTGCTGCCTTTGATCGAGCTCAGATCGGCGGCCGAGTCGTTTCGTTGGATCGTCGACTGCTTGAGCGCGCTATCGGCGGTGGAGCTGTTGCCTGTGCGCCAGTCGTTGTAGATCGTGGGCGCTGCAGCGGGCATGTCGGCCACTCCGCCTTGCGTGTCCTCGGTGATTGGGGCTAGCGTTTTGCTGCCTCGGGCGGATTTGGATCGTTCCATGGACATGGCGGTCGCGCCTGGTGTGGCGGAGCTGGTCGAGTCAGTTGTTGTCAGAGCGCTACTGGCGACGGGCGCTGCTGCCGTTGGCGCCGGCGCTGTCACTGCCACTGCCGGTGCTGTCGCTGCCGGTGCTTCGCGGGAAGCCAGAGGCTCGGACTGCTTTGTCAAGAAGGCAATGTGACGTTGCAATGGCGATTGCGATGTATCGCCGCGTCGGCCATAGCCAGGCTGCGCAGTTGTTTGAAGATCCTGACGACCTTCATCGGCTGCCGAGAAGCCATTGCCAACCGCGGCTCGACCCATCGCGCCCATGCCCGTGGTGAAACCTCGTGTCATGGTACGTTCCGGCGACCTGCTAGCGTCGTCCTCGCCGATGCCGTTTGTAAGGTCAACCGAGTCAGACGTTGCTTCACCGAGCTTACGCACGTCCAGATCCAAACGTTGAATCTCTTCGCTGAAGTTTTGCACGAAGAAGCGTTCCAGCGTGTCATGGAAAGGCTTCATCTCCGGCGGGCACAGCTGAGCATGCAAGCGGATGCAGCGGAATAGCACCGTCGCTTGCACATCAATGGCCTGTCGCAGCTCCTCGACGACTTCCTGCTGATCCTCGTGCGTCGCCAGGTAGTCTGACGCAAAGAAGGTGCGCTTGTACATGGGCACGCCGCCATCCGCTGGAGCATCGACAGCCCCGTTGAGCGCCATCGACAGCCGGTTCGTGTTAACCTTGCCCGTCGACGCCTTGCTCATCGACGTGTACTTCTTCTCCAAGGTCTCGAGCTCCCCCGTCTTTGCCCTGACGTCTTCCAGCGCCTTCTCCAATGGACTGATCTCGGCAACGTACACCTCGGCCACCTCGCTTCGTCGCAGCACCGTCGGGAAAGCATCTTCGCAGCGCAGATATGTCTTTTCGGTCCACTGCTCCGAGGACGCCGCGCCAGCCCTGGTGAGCGGTCTCGTAAAGGAGAACAGGTCGGTTCCGTTGTTCTCGTGATACGCACGCACCGTCGGCGGCACCTCTGGGTTGGTAAAGATGTCTTTGGTACGATCGGGCTCTGGCTGGACAGCCGTGACTTGGACGAATTGGCCTTCGGACGAGCGCACCGCTTCGTCGGGCACCGCAGCGCTCTTGATCAGCGTCGCCTTGGGATGCTTGGCGTGCAGGCGGTCGCAGAAGGCCGCGAACTTCTCGCGATCGTGACCACGGTAGACGAACATCTTGTTCTGCAGCGATGGCGGCCACTCTTGACCGTAGTAGGCGACACGGAAGTAAGCGGGGAAGGAGCGTTCTTCGGTCGCGATCTTCTGGTACAGCTTGGCCTGATGCTGCAGCACTTCGGCCAGCCGCGCGAAGTTGACCGAGCGATACTCGTACTGCTGCACCAGCTCGCGGCAGACGTCCACCGAGATCTCCCACGCCTGACCTTTGCTGAGGAAGTCGAGGATCAGCATGTAGAGGGTCTCCTTGCGCGCGAAATGGGACTGGCGCGGCAAGTCGAGCTCCAGGATCGGCTCGACAAAGCTGTCCATGTCCCACGAGTGCAGATCGGCGTGCAGCTTGAGCGTGAGTGCGGCCTCGATGTAGTTGTGGTTCTCGAGGTGCAGGTTGACGAGGCGCAGCACGTGCGTAGAAAACGCAGTCACCCTGTTGGACTGTCGCAGGAAGCCGAGCAGCTTGAGCGTGCCCGCAATGCGTTCGTCCTCGTAGCCTTCCTCCAGAGGCAAGCTTCGAACGCTCAGCAGCAGATCGAGGAAGCGGTTCACCGAGATCAAGCAGGCGTTCACCTGCTCTCGCAAAGCAGCGTCAACGCTCGGACTGTCGAAAAGTGCCCGCAGCTGACCGATGAAGAAGGCCCGCGAAATCTCGTCGCCCTTGGTCTGCGTCAAGAAGAGGATGTCGAGCTTGTCGATGATCTCGGCCTCGATGACGCTAAAGTCGCCGTTGAGGTGCCATTCTGATGTGATCATGGTGGCAAGCACGCGTACGGCGCACGTCCGGAGCTCGTCATGGTGCGACAGACACAGCTCGAGCACCGGCTCCACCAGCGAAGGAACGAATTGGACCTGGAAGCCGCCTGTGTTCATTCGCTCGTCCGACTGGCTCGTCTGCTCATCGACCGAGTCGTCTCCGGCCTTCTCTGGCCATCCGATCGACGTCCACAGCTTGGCAAAGATCTGGGCGCCTTCGCCTCGAATGTCGCCGGCCAGCCGCCACACCGCTCTTCGCCTCTGCGGCTTGAACTGCTCGATCACGAGCTGGTCGCTTGACAATAAGGTCAAGATCATCGTGAGGCACGACCGCCAGAGGACCGTGTCGAACTTGTCGCTCTGCTCGGCAGTGGGGATGTAGTAGCGCACCATCATGGACGCGATCGGATCGGCCATCTTGAGCACCATCTGATGGCTGAAGATGTTCAGGTTGAGCCAGGTGCTTGGGTAAGCATCGTACGAAAGGATCGAAGTGGCGACCTCGAAGAAGTGGAAGAGGATCTTGGACGTCTTCTCGTCACCACCGAGATCGCGCTCCTCGTCGAGGAAGCTCGACAGATGTTTCCTCGGGCTGAGCACAATGAGCACCATCAAGACGGCACTGATCTCGACCAGACCGCAGTTGAGGAATTCTGAGCGTTCCTGTCGGCGATTCCGGCGGGATGAAGCTGCTTCGACCACCGATCCGGTGCCTTGCGGTCGCCTGGCGACCAGCGGGAAGGGGTAGCTCGAAGGGAAGATGACTGGAACGGGAGACGGCGTGGTAGACGGAGCGCGATGTCGCTCGAGCGTCCTAATGGTGGCTCTGCTCGAAAGCTCGCGGTACGTCTCGAGGAGCTTTGGCATCATGCTGAGCAGGTAGTCGACGTCGTCCTGCTCTTCTGGGGCATTTCCCCGGCTTCCTGGCTTTCCATTGGGCGCCTCTTGATGGTCCGCAGCGAGACTCACTTGAAGACGGTCCAAGATGACAGCAAGAATGGTGACGGCGAGTCGTGCAGACTCCAACCACGACACTCTCGCTGCATCACGAGCGCTCTCGAGGGCGTTGCCTGGCGCATGAGCAGCTTCGTCGTATGCACCGAGATGCGGGCCAATCCAGCGGACGATGCTCGGGATCATTTGTGAACGCGATGCGGGCTCCTCGAAGAGCGGACCTTGGGTGAGCTGCAGGATGTGAAGCAGCTTCCAGATCACCATCTTGCCCTTGGCGATGAAGACGCTGTCAGCAAAGGCAGTGGCGGTGCGGACCAGCTCGTCGGTCGTAAAGACGCGCGCTAGATCAGGCAAGATGCCAGCAAAGTGTTGCAGCGCCAAGGTCTGCGTGCCGATGATCGATGAAGGCTTGGTCGTGCTCATCAGCTGATTGATGCTGCGGAGGAGTCCTTCCAGCTCGCGCTTGAAGCTGGCTTCGAGATGGTCCAGGACGGCACCACCGCCAACGTCGCGGTCGCCTCGCTGATTCTCGCGGCTCTGAATGACAAACTTGAACAGGTAGGGCCACACCTTGATCGCAGCACGAAGATCTTTGGACGTGTCGGGCCGGGCTGGATCGGCCATCAGCTTGGACATGGAAGCGATCAGCTTGTCGTGCGCCGTTGTGGACTTGAAGTGCTGCTCGATGTACACGTCCAACGTGGCGCGGAAGTTGTTGAAGCGGCGATCTTGCACGATGCCAAGCACGGTGACGAGGCTGTTGAAGACGAGGTCGTCCAACTCGCCACGACTGTTGCGACTGCTGGTGACCACGCCGAAGAGCGAGTCGAAGATGTCGCGCAGGAACTTGACGATCTCGACCTCTCCGACGAAGGTGAATTGGTTGAGCACGCTTCGAAGCTCTTCGAAGTCCTCGACCAGCAACCTCTCCCAGCTGAGCAGCTTGAGCAGAACGTCATTCTGAGAGTACTTGGTGGAGACGAGGAATGTGCGCAAGGTGAGAATGTCGCGAAGAGGCTGTACCGACGAGGCGAGACTGGCTGGCACGATGTCGTTCAGGCTGCGACCGGAGGATGTGACAGGGGGCAGATTGAAGTAGAGGTCCGGACCGATCTGATTCGCGGGCCTGTTGGTTCGCCAAAGGAAGAGCGTGTGACTGCCGTCCGGGATGAAGGCTCGATTCGACTCGAACAAGGGAAGATATCCGTAAGCGAAGGGTCGCGATACAGGCACCGACGAGCTTGACTGCGTGGCCTGAGTGCCATGGGCGCCGTTGCTGGGGGCGACGGCGCCGCGCTCCTCTTTTGAGCTGCGGTGACGGAACGAGAAGAAAAGATGACAGTCTTCCATGATATCGTGGGGCAGCTGCAATTTGATCAGCTCGCCCCAAGTTGGCGCGTTCTGGTGGTAGAAGACGAGACTGTCAAACTGTGTCAAGGTGGACTCGCCTGCACCGCGAGAGATAACGTCTTCAACGACTCGGCCGTCTCTTGTTCGCACCTCGGCGGAGACCTGGATGTTTCTTAGCGAGTTGCCCGCCATCTTGTTTCCTGAGGGATAGAACTCGCCGCTCCACAGCTTGATGTAGGCTTCATTTCGAGTATCACCTGGAAAGACCACGTCTGGGAAACCGAGACGAGCCGTAGGTGGGGTATCTTGGAGCAGCGAGGGGTTCTCGCGAATGACGGCTGACGTCTGGCCATGGAAGACCTTGACGTTGACGACCAACATATCGGCGCGTGGAGATTTCTCGAATTCGCGCGTCCTGGAGGCGATGATGTCCTGGTGAAGCGTGCTGAATGCGGCCTCGTGGACGGGGACAAAGATCGGCATGACGTGTTCCTTCATGGTGGAAGAAGAAGCGATATCGGTCTGGAACTGATGGTGTTGGCCGAGCTCGAGCACAGCGCATCCGAAGGGTCTGCGGAAGGATCGGTCGCCCGTCATGCGCTTGGTTCGGAAGGAGAGCGTGTTGGCCAGCGAAGGATCGGTGAAGGTATCGGTGCGATCCGAGAGCTGGTCCTGACCCGCCGCTCCCAGTGGGTTGGCTCGGAGGTCTCCTACGCGCATGCCACCTTTCCGCACGATGCGACATACTACGTTGAGGTCGTTCATGTCGCTGGCACTGAGCTCGGTAAACAGCGCCCGCATCTTGTTGAGTTGGCCGACCGAGTCTGTTGCCGGCACTCCGCGGTGATTGAGGAGCACGCAGAACTCTTCGGTGAGGAAGCGGGATTCTGCACGGTTGTAGAGGGAGAAGTACAGCTCGGCGACCTCTCCAGCGGTGCATGGCGTCGCAACGAATGCGCGGAGTTCGATGAAGACGTGGAAGTACTGGGCAGCGGCGGCGGCGGCGAGTAAGGACCCGGGTTCGTTGGTGTTGCTAGCGCGAGCATTGGCGGTGAGGGCGGTGGTCGCGAGCGAGCCCTTTCTGGAGGTAGTGCCTGGGTGTTGCGAAGGATCGTTGGAGATGCCTGCGAGTACGCCGGCACTGTTGGTCGTCGGTGACGTGATGCCGAACGCGTTGGAAGCGGACAGATCCATGCCGCCAGGGGCCGCAGTCGATGAGTTGTCCTCCTGCTGATCCACATAGGCGAGTGCGGCCTGGAGTGCAGATAGACGAATGCCGCTGACCCAGCTGTCTGGATCTGCGCTCTTGCTAGTGAGGTCAAAGTCGACCAGACCACCGCGGCCTGGGTGACGTACGATGACATCCAGTCCTTGCGCAACGTTGGCCTTGACGAGCCTAGCTACACACTCCCTCCTGAGCTTGGTGACTTCCTCGGCGGACAGAGTTTGAGCGAGAAGCTGTTTACGCGCAGTGTAGAGCGCTTCGATCTGTTCCTTGACGGTATTGAGGAGACCGTAGTCACGCTGACCGAGGTAGCTGTAGAGGAGCGCCGACCACTCTCGCAGTGCGCATGCAATTTCGTCGACCAGCGGTTCATTTGCGCCTGATCGGGTGGCATCGCCGAATTGAAGGCTTGGCAATGGCGGAGGTGGACGTTCCACCAGGTGACCGTTGACGCCGACCTCTTGAATCGCATCGTCGTTGGAAGCAAATTGAGTTGATGACTGTGGATTTGGGCTGGACGACGAGGCTGCTGTTTCATCCACCTCGGCCAACGTTCCCATTTGGGAATTCTGACGTGGCAGTGGGCCTGTCGCACCGACGACACCAAGCTCCTTTGCGTGTTGGTACACAGACGCGAGTCGCATCTCTGCATCGTCAAGCTGCTCGCGGATGTGGACGTGTGTAGGCGGAAAGACGCCAACATAGACCTGCGGCTCCTCGGAGGCGGAAGCACTCGTCTGCTGGCCGACGGCATGAAAGGTGCTGTAATCGCTTAGACTGCTGGCACTCGCGGCTGTGGTGGGCATGCGATTGGTGGACACGACATAACCTCGATACCAGCCGACATTGTCGTGGCCGAGCTGCTCGAAGACGTAGACTTCATCTCCGAGCTCGAGGGCGATGAGGTTGTCTTTGAGGTTCTGGATGGCATCCGCTGATTGCAGTTCGGGAAAGGCGGCGGACGATTCGAGCGGATCGGTCTCTGGCGAGAAGGGATGGGTGGCTAGGCCATAGAGGATCTTGGGGAGTGGTTCCCATCTACGGTATGAAGAGGCGCTGGCCATGGTGGCGGGTGAATGAGTGCGATGCCGAGGCCGAAAGCGATCAGAGTTGAATTCGCTGCCGTGACTGTGTGCTAAAATGTGGATCCGATGTAGCTCCCGACTGAAGGCTAGGATTGTTTGTCAGCGTCAAGGCTTGGCCACGGAAAGCCCGGCTTGACAGCGTCGCTGACTGTTGATGTGATGCGTGAAGATAGAGCGAGCGTGATCGGAGCGAGTCCGAAGATAGGATGGTGATCGGATAGGGGGCGATGCGAGTCAAAGCAAAGAGTGACAGCTGAAAAGGTTGAGTGCCTGTGCGTGGCCGTGGTTGACTGAAGCGACCCTTCTTCCGGAAATCAGCAGCACACGCGCTCGTGGCTCGTGGCTCGTGGCTCGTGGCTCATGCCTGAGACCCTCTCACGCTGCGGTTGGCCAAATTTCTCTGCAGCAGCAGCAGCCTGTCTCAGAAAACAATCTAAAAACAGAGTGAAGAGCAGTTCATAGTCACATGGGGCGTCGTTCTCAATGCATGGACTATGCTCTCTCACCCACGCCGCTCAGTATCTTCGGATGTGGTGGGAGTAGTGGTGATATTGAATGGTGACTTCACTTGGCTAACAGCAGCAGCGGTCCGATTATCGGATCTCGATCGAGAGCTGATCCACCAACCTGGCCAAGACATCCGAATGCAGCTCGTTGACCTCGTCGTTCTCGAGCGAGCGATCCATTGACCGATAGTTGATGCGATAGCACATGCTCTGCTTCTTGGTCTTGGGGTGCACAAAGTCGTCGATCTTGACCACGTCCTCGACCAGGTCGCCAACTCGATCTCGGACGATCTCGAAGAGGTCGTTTTCGTGGAATTTGCGCTCCTGAGGTAGCCAGAAGGAGACGTCCTTGTAGCATGGAGGATACTTGGAATACGGCTTGAAGGTCAAGAGCTTTGGCTTGCAGGTGGACGCGGTCTTGGATTGGCCGCCGGCGGACGAGACTTTGTTGCTGCTGGCGCTGGCGAATTGGCCCAAGAATCGGGAATCTTGTGTCCAGAAGAGGCGAATGTCAGGAATCGAGTAGAGCACCATGGCAATGCGCTCAAGGCCGATTCCAAAAGCCCATCCGAGGCGATCTGGTACACCCGCTTTGTCCAACGTCCTTTGCTGCACCACTCCACACCCCAAGATCTCCAGCCACTTGCCTCGGAACCATACTTCCACCTCGTACGAGGGAGATGTGAAGGGGAAGAACGCTGGGATCCAACGCACACGCAGGGGATCCGTCGCCGATCCTCCTTTCTGCGCCGTCTCAAAAGCGTGTCGTTCGCCAAACAGCTCCAAGGCGAGACCGTTGAGCGTCGCTTTCAAGTGCCGAACTGCCAGCGCAGCTTCACGAGGATCGTGGTGGCTTTGGTACCCTCCCGCTTCCGATAGTCCGACCTGATCTTCGATCTCGAAGTTGGCCTTGGCGAGCTTTGCTTCCATCTCGACGCATTCTTGCTCCACCTTGCCTCCGGGTGCATAGTCCTCGTGCGCAAAGATGGCAGCGCCTTCCACCTGATGGAAGATGGGGTAGTGAGAAGCGTCGATCTCGTCACGACGGTAGACGTCGGCGGTGAGCAACCATCGTTCGTGCTTGTTGCGGAATGTCTCGACTTCGTGGGCCGATGTATGGGTGCGCAAGCAGGTGGTGCGGTTCACATAGTAAGTGTCCGTCGGACTTCTGCCTGGGTGATCGGCCGCAATGCCCAGGTCTTCGAAGTTGAGTTCGGTAGAGACCACGGGGGACGTTGCGTGGATCGGCGTGTAGAGCGGGCCGACTGATGCTTCCAGTTGATCTCGCAGAAGCGCTAGTGGATGATTCTTGGTGTATGGAAGCGTAGGCGTGGGCGACAGGCGTGATAAGATGGAAGCTGGAATGTTGGTGTAGTCGTCCGTGGGGTAGTCTTTGCCAAGGATGCTCATGGTCGTCGGTGACCTTGCAGCGCCTGTGGTGTTGAGACGAGCAGCTACTGACGTCGAATAGGCTCGAGAGCCAGGCCTTGCGTAGATTGTGGACCTCGAGCTTGTCATCGCTGCGAACCCTTGGAGCTGTGAAGTGCTACCAAGGCCAGCGTGCGCTTGCGAGACGAGGCTTTGCAACCTTGCATGGATCTGAGCGGGGCGTGCGGCCTGTCGAGCGCCGAAGCAGGCTCTGCAGGCTGTCTGAGACGGAAGCTTGACCATCGCAGCCGATGTGATCCTGATGACCTTTCGTGTGGTGATGGGGAATCAGTAGAAGCTGGGGCGAAGTCACTTCTTCTCGTCAACTTTAAATTTGATCCTGTCCGGAATTCGGGCTCAGCCAGCTCGCTAACGCACGCGCCCTTCATCATGTTGCGCTGTCAAGTGTTGGCCTGCGCTTTCCAGCATCAACCCACGACTTTCCACCCTCAACGATCATCACCACCTCCTCAAGACCCAGCATATCACTTTCACCGTTCCAAGATCGCCATCATGGACCTCCGCGACCCAAACATCATCGAGGACACCGACCGTGTCGACGGAAGCGGTACCTCAACCAGCGTCACGACAGACACCAAAACGGACCTCGACCAGAATGTAGAAAAGATCGTGGGCAGCATCTCGAGCTGGTTCACTGGCTTTGCCAAAAAGTCGCAGGACACAATCATTCAAGCGAGAAAGGAGATGGAGGATCGAGGTGGCATCGTCAATTACGCAAAGAGCGAGTACGCCAAGCTTGAATCTTCGTTGGAAGAAGCCCAGAAGAACGCCGACGACAACTTGTCAACGCTGCCTGCGACCTCGGTCGAGGATGCTTTCCTTCATTCTGAGAAGGAAACTTCAAAAGGAAAAGGCAAGGAGAGGGTCGTCAATGATCAAGATGCACCAGCGACGGCGGCAGACAGCGGCGACACGGCGCACACGGGACCCACTCTTGGCGCTTCAGTCACATCCCTCTTCTCCAAGATCACCTCTGATCCTCGCATCGCATCATTGCAGCAATCTTTGACCTCGACACTCCAATCTGTGTCATCGCCGACGAGCACTGGGACAGAAAAAGATGCTGATGGCACCGAGAGGACGACAGGACCAACACCGATCAACCTCCAAGAATCGCTCTCGAAGCTCTCGCTGACCATCCAGTCGCACTTGCCGCATCTCGATCTCAAAGAGTCGCAGCAGCTGGCCACAAAGTATCTGCACGCAACCGAGAACTATGCGCGCGAGATCCAGTCCGACATGAAGGACTTTGTTGGCGAGCTGGTCCGCATCGTACCGCCAGAAGGCGAAGCGGCCCAGCCAGGCACGGCAACAGCTCTGGCACCCAAGCCTATCAGCAAGGACACAAGCACAAGCACAACCGAGTCCAGTGCTCAGCAAGACGCCAAGGCAACCACACCTGCCACAACGGAGTCTTCAGCGCTCGCTGCCAGCGATCTCAAGAGTCCGTCTGCCGAAAGCGAAGAGGACTTTGCATGGGACGGCGAGGACGACGAAGCTGCTGCCGCCGCCGCCAAGCCCGAGGCCACCACGCCATCGACCGCTAAGGCAGCCGCTCCGGCTCCCGATACCACGGTTGCCGCTGGACAAGACAAGAAGCCCACTCAGAGCAAGACGGAGGATTCGGACGAAGATTCCGATTGGGAGTAGCGACGCGAACCCCACTTTCAGACATGTCACTGTCATGCATCGAATGGAGTGTATCGAGCCCATAACTGGTGTTAGGGTGATCGAGTGTGGTGTGCAATCTTGCATTGCTCTGAGACGAACCGGGGCTTAGCAGCCTCACAAAACGGACTGTTTCGGTACAAGTCGCGGACACACTCAGTGGAGAGCACCTTCCTCCTCGTCTTGCCGCGGAGGCGGCGGAGAAGCCGAAGCCTGACCAGACCCGGTATCGACGCCCTTGGCGGTCCAGAAGTCATTCTTTGTGCGCGACGAGATGCGCGACATTCCCCTTCCCGCGCTGCCCAGCTTGGGTGCCGACTTGACGCTACTTGCGCCTGACAGCGTAGGCAGAAGCATCTTGTCGTCGCCTCGTGCAGCGTCATCATCCGAATCATCCTCAGAGACGAACGTAGACGGCGCCGAGTGAGACAAGTCTTCCAGGTCCGCCTGCGTGATCTCGGTCTGGCCTCTGCGGGCGCGTTTCTTCGCGGGCCCACCTACCGTCGGCGAGGCTGCTCCATCCGGTCCTCGTCGAGCGAGGGATGACTTTGGCTTGGAGGAGCGGCTTGCGCTGTAACGAGAGTCCTCGTCTTCGCTGTCTGCCTCCGCATTTGGCCTCCGGCGTTCTGTTCGCTCGGCATCGTCCTTGTCAGAGCCGGCTTGCGAAGGACTGCTCCTTCTTGCCCGTTTCGATCCCCGCTGACTGTCTGCATCCGACCCACCGCTCGCCTTGTCTGCCGCAGAAGCAGCTCCTCTGATCGACAAGGCGGGCATTTGACCACGCTTGGTCGTGTTCTTTGCACTGTCGATCGACACGACGCCGCTGTCTGGTCGAGCCTTGGTCGTAGAGCCAGACGAACCGGCAGCGGAGCTCGATAAGCGAGCTGCCAAGCCGTCTTCTCGAGAGGACGATGGCCTCGCGGGAGGCGGACTGCTGGGCGGTGCTGGTCTTCCCAGCTTGAACTGCAGCGATCCAGAGAAGTAAAGCTCTTCCATCTCCTTTCTCTGCCGCACGACCGGGTTCGAGATACCAAGGATGATGCCGAGCAGGCTGTTGGGATCTTTGTCGTCCTTGCCACCCTCTGCCGTTGAGTCACGCACAAGTGCCCTGCGAGCCTCAGCGTCAGAATCTGAATCCGAGTCGACAGAGAAATGTCGGTGCTTTCGACGGCCCGAGTCATTGGCATCTCGAGCAGAAAGGCGCATCTTGGCACTCCCCTCATTGGCTTGCTGACAGATGGCAGCCGTCAGGATGTCGAAGGCACCTGCCAAGGTCGATCGCACATTGATGATGCCGAACGATCCCTTGGAGATGTCGTTGGAGGGATCGTGGGGATCCTCGATGCAGAGCATGAACGGTCGTCTTTCATCCTTCCAGCCTCGGCGAGCCTTGCTAAAGTAGCCACCGCGACCTCGAACCGAGATGCCGCAGTTATCGTAGCCAAAGTTCTTGCCATACAGCTCGAGGAATTCGAGGAGCAGGACACCCAAGCTTCGAGACGCTTCGATTTCACCTCGCTGCACTTTCGGATGCAGTTGCAAGAAGCTGATCACCATAATGATGACGCTGTAGCTTCCAAGACCCCCCGAGAAGACTTCGCTCATGCCTCGCTGCATGAGAAGATGCTTGACGACCAAGATCAACGGTCGGATGTGGGGCCACTTGCGCAGCCAGCTGTTGACGTAGCTTGCCGTGGTGAGACCGTTGGTGTGGTTGAGCGAGATGTCGACCTTGAGACGAGCATACGTGGTCACAAATTTGATGATGGGCACTTTAGCCTTGGCGATGACTTGCACGTCGGTGGCCAGATTATGTCGTCGCAGGCAGGCGGCCATGGTGCGAAGTGCGTTCTGGGTGCGAAGGTTGGCCATGGAGTTGCTGACGACGACCAAGTCGAGGTCACCTTGCGGAAGATACAGCTTGGTCTCCTGACTTCCAAAAGGATGGACCTCTGCATCGCGGAACTGAGATTTGATGGCGCGGCTGATGAGCTCGATGACCATGCAGCGCGTTTCGTGCTCAGCTGCGGTGGGCGCCATCCAGTAGTCGAAAGCTATGAGCTCGCGATGCAAGGCTTCAGCGCCGTTCTTGCACTTGTTCCAGTCCACGTCGGCTGACCAGGGCGTGTGGCGTGAACGTGCCATCTGTCGCTCCTTCTTGGAGCGTCCATCGTCCTCTCGCTCGTCAGCCTTGCGCTTCTTGCCCTTCCGCGACGCTTCCTCCTCGCGCGACTTTGATCCACGACCACGATTGGCTTGCGTAGAAGACTGCGGTACATCGTCGTCCTGGTCTGCTCCAAGGTCGAAAGAGATGAAGTCCTGGGCGCCGAACGCCTTGTCTTGTGTTGCCACAGGCATAGTGGTCGGTTGGCTGGACGGTGGCAGTGTGTCGGGCTGTATGCTGCTTATATGCTGATGAACTGACCCGAAAAGCTGAGTTCTTTATGCGATGCCTATCAAAGCGCTACCTGGGCGTCTGATCAGAGCTGAAGGATGTTCCCACGCTTTCGGCTTGGATCCTTTGCCTCTCTGCTCGTCAAGGTTGACTACCTTTGCGTCCGTTCGCCTTTGACTTGCTTCCTTGTGGCGTAGCCGAAGAATAGTCACCGATGTGACTACAAGACCGTGGGAATGCGCTGATTGTGGCGTGGGACCTCTGAAGCGACGGCCGTGATGAGTGTAGAGTGATAAGAGGAAAAGCCGAACTTGGCCAAAGGAGGCCAGTTGCAACGCTCCAACCAAGAGAGGAGCACGACGCTTTTGCGGAGACTGGCCAGCAAGCATGGAATTTTTTGAACAGGGTCCGCCCATTTTTTTCTCTTCGCTAGAAATCACGAAGCGTGTGATGCAATTTCTTCTCACGTCAAAGTGGAGAAGAGCAGCAAAGGCAAGGAGGAGGCCGAAGCTGAGCGTTGGCTGCGAGAGCTCAGAAGCTGCCGCTGCCGACCAACCGGGAGACCCTGCGAGCCACACTGCATCCAGTCCTTTCAGGTCGTCTACCCTTCCTGCATCCTCCCCTCATTCATGGAGGCATCACGCTGGCATGTATCTTCGTTCGCAAGTCAACATCCTCGAGTCGAGCAACGGAAGATCGCTTCAGGCCATTGCCCGTGTCATGACCAGCATCATCACCGCATCCCGCTAAAGAGCCTTTCCGTGGGCACAACTCCGAACGACTCCCTCAAGGAAACACATCACTGTCACCTTGACATCCACGACGATGGCCGGCTACGATGATCGCGACGACTATCGTCGCTCCTCTTCTTCCTCGTCCCATCATCGATCTCGCAACAGTAAGCATGACACCTCGTCCTCCTCGTACAGAAGCCAAGGACACGAGCCAACCAGACGTCGTTCTCGTTCTCCTCCCTCGCATCCCTCCTCTTCGCGCAGCCATCGTGATCGTCCCAGCGATGCTTACGTGAACGGCTCGAGTCATCAAAGGGGACATGAGTATGACCGCACCCGACACAGAGAGGACCGCGGGTACGATGCTCGCACGAGCGCCGGATCCTCGTATGAGAACGGTCATCGACATGGCGAAACATCGAACAAAACAGGGCGCAGAAGATGGGATGAAGGTGCGCCAGTCCCACCGGCCGCTCCATCTGCTCATTCTACGCTAGGACCAGGCCACATGACTGCCAACAACGGCCTGCCATCCAGGCCACCCGCCGGTCCTCCCGGCGCTGCACCAGGGCCGCCGCTTGCCCTTCCACCTTCCCGACCAGCACCCTCCGCCTCTACATCTGCAGCACCATCCTCTAGCGCTCCTATTTCAGCAGAAGAGCAAGCTAAGCAAGCAAAGAAAGCGCGACTCGAAGCATGGCGCAAAGAGCAGGCCGCCAAGAAGGCACTCGAAGAAGCCAAGCAGCGAGCTCAGTCCATTGCCAGCGCCGTGGCCCCTCCGTCGCAACGAACAGAGGCGTTGACCTCAGCTTCAACGCAGAAGACAGCGCCGACCTCGATCAATGCGACGGGTCTTCGGACGCTGTCCTTACGAACAGATCCGTCCAAGGTCAACGCACAGAAGCGCTCGCGTACCATGATGGATGATGCCTCGGAACCATCCACGCGGACGCAGCTCAACCGCTTCGATGACCTGCCTCCCCTAGATCCGTCGATCAAGTCTGCCCGCAAAGGCCTGCTCGCCGACGAGGACGACGAAGACATCACAGCGTCAAGCACCACTGGCCAAGCGAAAGGATCTACCGCTGACATGGTAGTCGACGACGACGAAGAGGAGGACCCGCTGGATGCCTTCATGTCCACTGTCAAGAGCCAGGTGGCTCAAGTCAATGCAGACGATCGACGTAAGGCTGGCGCGGATAGCGGAGCCGCCTCGGCCAAGACTCAACCGAAAGCCGTCGTCCTGGGCCAAGATGAAGACGACGCAGAAGCCGAGCCGGAAGACGAGCAGCTGGATGAGCTGGACCGTGTCGTGGCAACCGAGGATCTCCTGGCACTTGCGGCGAAGAAAGTCAAAAAGAAGGAGCTGGCCACCGTCGATCATGCCACTGTCGACTACGAATCATTCCGCAAGGTCTTTTATCATCCTCCCGCCGAAGTTCAGGACATGTCCGAGGAGCTTGCCAACCAGATCCGTCTCGAGATGGACGCCATCACGGTGCGGGGCAAGGAATGTCCCAAGCCGCTCACCAAGTGGTCGTACTGTGGCCTGCCTGCAAGCTGCCTGGACGTCATTCGACGACTCGGCTACGCTGCCCCTACTCCCATCCAAAGTCAAGCCATTCCCGCGATCATGTCTGGCCGAGACATCATCGGCGTTGCCAAGACGGGCTCAGGCAAGACCATGGCTTTCCTGCTGCCCATGTTCCGACACATCAAGGATCAGCGCCCCGTCGAGACTTCGGAGGGTCCCGTCGGCATCATCATGACGCCCACCCGCGAGCTCGCGGTCCAGATCTATCGAGAGATGCGACCTTTCATCAAAGCACTTGGTCTACGTGCCGCTTGTGTATATGGCGGCGCTCCCATCTCGGAGCAGATCGCCGAGATGAAAAAGACGGCCGACATCGTCGTTGCGACCCCTGGCCGACTGATCGACCTCTTGACGGCCAACTCGGGTCGAGTCACCAACCTGCGACGCGTCACCTACCTCGTTCTCGACGAAGCAGATCGCATGTTTGACATGGGATTCGAGCCTCAGGTCATGAAGATTGTCAACAACATCCGGCCGGATCGCCAGACGGTGCTGTTCTCCGCCACGTTTCCGAAGCAGATGGAGTCGCTGGCGCGCAAGGTGCTCAAGAACAAGCCACTCGAGATCACCGTCGGCGGTCGAAGCGTGGTGGCTGCCGAGATCGAGCAAATTGTCGAAGTACGACCTGAGAACACCAAGTTCCACCGTCTGCTCGAGATCCTCGGAGAGCTGTACAATCGGGAGAAGGATGCTCGCACGCTCATCTTTGTCGATCGACAAGAGGCGGCCGATGATTTGCTGAAGGACCTCATTCGAAAAGGCTACGTCACCATGTCGCTGCATGGTGGCAAGGATCAAGTCGACCGCGACGAGACCATCTCGGACTTCAAGGCGGGCAACGTGCCCATCGTGACGGCGACTTCGGTGGCAGCGCGAGGCCTTGATGTCAAGCAGCTCAAACTGGTCATCAACTACGACGTGCCGAATCACATGGAGGACTACGTGCATCGTGCTGGACGCACCGGACGCGCAGGTCAGAAGGGCACGTGCATCACCTTTATCACGCCCGAGCAGGATCGATACGCGCGCGACATCATTGCTGCATTGAAAGCCAGTTCTGCCAACATCCCAATCGAGCTCGAGGCGATGGCAGCTGCCTTCAAGGAAAAGCTGGCGGCAGGCAAAGCGAAAGCAGCCGGATCTGGCTTTGGCGGTAAAGGCCTGGATCGGCTCGAGACGGATCGTGAAAAGGTGCTCAAGGCGCAAAAGTCGTCGTATGGCGAAGCGGATGAGGATGGTAAGGCGGCGAATGCTGGCGATACGAGCGTGGCGAACGCCAAGACGGGAGGCTCTGGCGGCGGATCGAGCTCTGAGGATCAGCTGAGCAAGTTGCAGGGCATGAAGATCGAGATCATGCATGGCGCCGCTCCCGAGTCGGTGCGAGACAACAAGACTATTTCTGCGAGCGACGACGCTTCCGGTACAGCCGTCAACTCCAAGGTGGAGCAAGAGAAAGAAGCGAAAGAAGCGGCACAGGTCAAGGCGCAGGAAGCGGCCCTCGAAGCTGCCAAGGCCCACGGAGCGGACACCACCAAGCTGGCTATTGTGCTCGAAAACATCCGCAAGCAGGCCAATGCACGCAAGCAAGCCGCCAAGAGCTCGGATGCCGACAAGCTGAAGGAGCGCAAGGCTCGCGATCCGGATGCCACCGACTATCATGCCATCGTTCCGATCAACGACTTCCCTCAGCGCGCGCGATGGAGGGTGACCAACAAGGAAACGATGAGCCATCTGATCGAATCGACAGGAGCATCCATCACCAACAAGGGCGTGTTCTACAAGGAGGGCACCGAGCCGCAGCCCGGCGAGCCACCGAAGCTGCAGCTGCTGATCGAGTCGAACAACAAGTCGATGGTGGAAGATGCAGTGCGAGAGATCCAGCGGCTGCTCGTGGAGGCGACGCAAGCCGTGTTGGAGGCGGAGGCGAGGAGTTCGGGGACGTCGGGCAGGTACACGGTGGTGTGAGAAGAATGCAGACCGATGCAATGCAGGCAGATGTAGAAGCATAACTTTGGTGTGATGACACGTCTACAGTGACATGAGCGGATACAAATACAAAAGCGTGATTGAGTAGAGGGAAGAAGGCTGAGTTATCAGACGGCGCCCTCCAAGAAAGCGAGGAAGCGTTTTGCAACGCCGAATTCAATCGACGGCGGCTGAGCAGCACTGGCCTTGGAGCCAGGTTGTGATGCGTGTGAAGTGAGCGAGAAATGCACGCCTTCTGACCTAGCGGCGTTTCCGAGTTCGCTGACTTGCGCTGAGCCTGAGCTGTGCATGCGGACGAACTGACGGCGGATCCGCTGCAGCGAGGCCATGGTCACTGGCTTATCCGCTGGTGGTGTGAATGTGAGCGGAGAGGGTCCGGTGAGGCTTGGATGGTTGATCGGCACTTCCGAACCCGGCTGTAGGCCAAAGCTGGACTGATGCTGTAGGATGCTAGACACCACATTCTGAGTGGATGATTCGAGGATGGAGAGGTAGTTGGCCGTGGTAGAGCGGGTCGGGGCCACAACGTCAGGGGCCTTGTTGGCCGATCCTTTCGTTGCAGCGTCCCAGATGTCGTCGAACGGTATTGACTCGACGAGGATGCCTTCTTGGCTGATCAGTGTTGGCGCCTCGGGAGCGACGACGGTTGGCACAATGATGAGCGGCGAGTCCCATCTCGTCATGGCGTTCGGCTCTTCGAAGCGCATCAAGAGGCTGTCGAGCGTCTCGTCGTCGTAGCTCGCGTCATCTCCCTTTTCTTGGCGTCGTTTTCCGTTCCAGAATCGGCATACTTGCGGAGGTGCATGGACGTGGACCGACACACAGCGGACACCGACTTCGCGTGCAGCACACCACAGCTGATACCGAAAACCCTTGATGTTAAGCCCAGCTCCACCGTCGGCGATGACAACTGTGTCTTTGCCTAGCGCGCGGGTGACAGCAGACAGATATGAGGCCCTTGCAGGCTTCTCGGTGCGTTGTGATGAGTATGCTGAGCGTGCGACGTGAACATCGTGATCCGATACGATGACTACTCGGGTCGGTAGTCGAGCCGAAGATGAGGAGGAGGGAGCGGCCCCGCCATTCTTGATGCGACGTTCGAGATCCTCCTTGATGAGCGCAGAGCGTGTTGAGCGCCCTGAGCTAGCTAGTCCCGATACGATGATCAGCGCCATGATTCTCGCCTCCGATGCTGACGAAAGGTGTAGGAATGTCCGGAGCACGGCTTCGAGGAGGTCCTCAGCAGCTTTCTTCTTGCAGCTCGTTTCGTTGACTGGACCCTGAAAGTTAGTCAGCTGGTGGTAAGCCGTCAAAATCGCAGACTCTAACAGTTTTGAAATTCGGCTCAAGCCGGACTCGTCTGCCAGTGGAAGCGCGGAAATGAACGGGAATTCAGCTTGGAAGTGGTGTTTGCGCGCTTACCAAAGCGAAGGTGGTGTCTCTATTTTCGTGCTCTCGACGACGGCCTACTTTCTTCCGCTCGTGGCTGCGTGACTTGAAATTAGTGCTGCCCTCTCGCTTTCAGCGTTTGGCATAGCGCGCGGCGGCCAGAGGTGGGCGAAAGGGTCGACTCGGCTTACCCAAACCGCCCTCCCAGCAAATCAGCGCAAGCGCATTGGTCGAGCGGCGGGTCGTCGCTCTGCCCTTTTCCTGCCTCTTTTGAGATGGCGTCCGTCACTGAGAAATTAGTCCGCTTGGTCTCGAGCGCGCACTTCCTGGTCTTGTCGCCGCACCGAGCGTGTGTGTGTCTGTCTGCTCGTAAGAATAAACTGCCTTTGCCCCGCAAGCTTGAGTGGCAGCACCAGCACCAGCGAGCCTTGCCGCGCCCGACTCCGTCGCCGGCCTGTGTTGAGAAGCGTGCAAAGCTTGGAACACTTTATTCGCCATCATCCATCGCATTGCCTTTCTTCCTCACCCTCCCACCCTTCCGACCTCACCCAACCTAGCTCCTGCAACACAACTCCTCCCTCGTTGTCTGCAGTCGCATATACACACCATCATGATCTTCGGAAGGTCGCTTTCGCGCGCCGTTGCGCGTGCACCTTCGTCCAGCCTGGTCGCTCCCTCGCAGCGCCTCGCCGGCTTCCACTCCACCGCCAGCGCTTCTCGCATCATTGCATCCCAGCCTCTGCGCGCCAAGGAAGCCGCCACTCCCCTCGACGCTGCCAAGGGATACCCCGTCATTGACCACGAGTACGATGCCATCGTCGTTGGTGCCGGTGGTTCGGGTCTTCGTGCCGCTTTCGGTCTCGCCGAGGCCGGTCTCAACACCGCCTGTATCACCAAGCTCTTCCCCACTCGTTCGCACACTGTCGCTGCCCAGGGTGGTATTAACGCCGCTCTTGGCAACATGACCGAGGACGACTGGCGATGGCACATGTACGACACCGTCAAGGGCTCCGACTGGCTCGGTGACCAGGACGCCATCCACTACATGTGCCGTGAGGCTCCCCGCACCGTCATTGAGCTCGAGCACTTCGGTCTCCCCTTCTCCCGTACCAAGGACGGCAAGATCTACCAGCGCGCTTTCGGTGGTCAGTCGCTCAACTACGGTAAGGGTGGCCAGGCTTACCGATGTGCCGCCGCCGCCGACCGAACCGGCCACGCCATGCTTCACACCCTCTACGGTCAGTCGCTCCGCCACAACACCAACTTCTTCATCGAGTACTTTGCCATGGACCTCATCATGGAGGATGGCGAGTGTGTCGGTGTCACCGCGCTCAACATGGAGGACGGCACCATCCACCGCTTCCGCGCCCACAAGACCGTCCTCGCCACCGGCGGTTACGGCCGTGCCTACTTCTCGGCCACCTCGGCCCACACCTGCACGGGCGACGGTATGGCCATGGTCTCGCGCGCCGGTCTTCCTCTCCAGGACCTCGAGTTCGTCCAGTTCCACCCCACCGGTATCTACGGTGCCGGTTGCCTGATCACCGAGGGCTCGCGTGGTGAGGGTGGCTACCTCCTCAACTCGGAGGGTGAGCGATTCATGGAGCGATACGCCCCTACCGCCAAGGATCTGGCTTCGCGTGATGTCGTCTCGCGATCCATGACCATGGAGATTCGCGAGGGTCGTGGTGTCGGTCCCGAGAAGGACCACATTTATCTGCAACTGTCGCACTTGCCTCCTGAGGTGCTTCACGAGCGTCTCCCCGGTATCTCGGAGACTGCCGCCATTTTCGCCGGTGTCGACGTCACCAAGGAGCCCATCCCCGTGCTTCCCACCGTCCATTACAACATGGGCGGTATTCCCACCAAGTACACCGGTGAAGTGATCACCAAGGGCCCTAACGGCGAGGACAAGATCGTTCCCGGTCTTTACGCCGCCGGTGAGACCGCATGTGTCTCGGTTCACGGCGCCAACCGTCTGGGCGCCAACTCGCTCCTCGACATTGTCGTTTTCGGTCGCGCGTGTGCGAACCATATCAAGGAGAATCTTGAGCCCGGTAAGCCCCACAAGGAGCTGAAGGGCGACGCTGGCGTCAAGTCGATCAACGACCTCGACTGGGCCCGAAATGCCAACGGTTCCAAGAGCACCGCCGACATCCGCAACGACATGCAGCGCATCATGCAGTCTGATGCCTCCGTCTTCCGCACCACCAAGACTATGGAGGAGGGTTGCGACAAGATCGACAAAGCGCATGCCAGCTTCAGCGACGTTTCGATCCAGGACCGTTCCATGATCTGGAACTCGGACCTGGTCGAGACCCTCGAGCTCAAGAACCTCTTGACGTGCGCTGCCCAGACCATGCACTCTGCTTCGGCACGAAAGGAATCCAGGGGT